AGAGAGAGAGAGAGAGAGAGAGAGAGAGAGAGACAGACAGAGAGAGACAGACAGAGAGAGAGAGAGAGAGAGACAGACAGAGAGAGAGACAGACAGACAGAGAAGAGAGAGAGACAGACAGAGAGAGAGACAGACAGAGAAGAGAGAGAGAGCGCGCCACAAAAAAACCAAAAATCACAACTTTCGCCACGTTGGATGCAAAGTTCACATGATGCAGCAACAGTCACGCTTTAATCCAAAGCAAAGTGTGATATATGATTTACTTAACCGATGCGAATACCGGTGTGTGAAATTATGTCAGACAAATGATGCCACGACCTTTTCGTTTGAACCACCGCTGTAAAAAATTTTTTTCTCGGGGCTCGTGGTCTAAGCGGCGACGTAGCCGACAATGTTGATGGCCACGCGGTGGGGCGTGCCATCATTGGCGGCGCCGTCGCACAGAATGGCGTCAAAATTGCCGTTGGCCTTGAGTGGGATGATTTGCGTGCCGTGCCAGAAGCCGTAGTAATTCTTGGATCCCGCACTTCCCTAAGGGGCATCGGGCCAACACGCGAGTCAGTCTGGACCATAGGGGTCAGCTGGGGCGCCAGAGTTGCGAGGTGAAGTCGGTACGAACATCGTGTGTGATCTGCACATCATTAAAATAAACGTTGTTGTCATGAATGCTGTTGTCCCAGCTGTTCACGTTGGTTGATGCCTGCGGCATGCATCGCAAATGAGTTGGCCGGCTACAAAAGGCTGGTGCAGCATCACAAAAAACAGCGGGGAGGCAGACAACGTACGTCGCGACCAAACAGGTGATTGACATGGTCGCTGATGCCTGGCGCGTCGTAAGTGAAGATGGTTGTAATCAGGGCCTTGGCTGTGACCGGGATGCCTAGCACTCCCAAGCCATTCGGCAAAAACCAGACAACCAACCATCAAGGTGTGATATTAGTGAAGGAAGGCAGAGTGACGGACATAAGCAGGGCCGGACCAAGGACACGGAATGCACGTTGAAAGTTGACCACCTGTAGCTGCAGGAGGAGCAATGTTGTTAATGACAGTGCGTGTGGTGGGGTCAAAGCTGATTGTGCGGCGCTGTGCCGCCTCAAGGTAGATGATATTGGTGAAGGGACCTTTGGGAATATAGCCAAAGACCGCAACCGTCAAGTAGGAGGTACCGGCGTCATTAAAGCCAACATTGGTTTCTACTCGGACAGTGCCATCGTCCGCAGTGCCCGTCATCTGGAAAGGCGGTGCATAATGAGGTGTGTCACGCATAGGAATATTCTGGGCCAGGGTGCAGCAGATACGTAGTCACAGGGCGCCAAACCCACCAGGAATTGGCTGTAGCCGTAATAAGCACTGGCGACTGAGGCGTCGCCATCGTTCGTGATGACGGCATCGCCCCAGAAGGAAGTCGTCTCGCTGGGTTGAGCATCCCAGTTGGGGTAGGTGAGGTTGATATCTGGTCCAAAGTTGGTCCAGTAGTGGTCACGATGTGTGTCGACAAACGTGGTGGCGGTCGTCAGAACGCCCGCAACTCCGCTGGCGGGCACATGCTGCGTTTGAAGAGAGGCGATGGTCGCTGCCGAGGAGCTTGCCAGGCGGAGATTGTGTACTTGATTGACCTCCAGCAGGGTAGAGCGTCCGTCCACACCCATTACATATCCATAGATATAGACGGTGAGATAGTTGACACCATGTGTCATGCCATGGATGCTGCTTTTGACAGTGCGCCCATTGAGCGGAATAATCGATGTGCCCGAGGAGAATCCATGGTATTGTGGACCTAAACAGCATAGTAACGGGTGGCCCCATGAAATGCTGCCTTTTTTTCTATATACATGTAGTATCATTTGTGGGGGCGGACGTGTGGTGGGAGGGAAGTGTCGTAGTCCAGTAAATCATATATGTACATATATGATTTACTGGACTACGACAGGAAGGCATAAGACTGGGTGTACGCACCACCATTTTCTCCATTTTGCGTCTGCAAGACATCGTTGTAGTAGGTATTGGTGCTGTAGACGCCCCCGGAGGAAAAGGAGCAAGGCACGTCGTTGTCGCGGCCGAGCGAATACACGCAGTGATCGTTGCGAAGCGAGTTGTAGGAGGTTAGAGAAGCCACAATGGCCACGGCCCCTTGAGGAATAGAGCTCGACACGTCGGACTCTTGCTTGCCGCAATCTTGGGTAAAGTCAAACAGCAGCTTCTCCGGAGTGTCCAAGAAGTGCATGTACAAACCGTAGCAAGCAGGCGCATCTCGAGCCACTGTGTCGCCGCCTGGGCATCGGCACTCGTACGAGCCCACGAGATTTGTACATGTCGCCAGCTCGGGACAAGTGGCCCCCGCTGCGCATTCATCCACGTCCGTGCACACGAGAGCATCGCCCGACACGGGTATCCACTCTGAGAGCGCGTTGCAGACAAACTTGGCTGTATTGGTGGCCGCAAATCCTGATGCACAGCCCATCTACCACAATTTCAAGTCGATTTTGACGATTTTCAGATTTCGGTGGAGTCAGCTTCATTAGAACGCTTACACCCCAGCCTGCACAAGAAGCATGCGACACGTGTGAGGAGCGCTCTGCCTACCGTGCACTAGCTATTGAATGCGGATTCGGTGCAGTTCACGACTACTGCATTGGCCACGCTAGGGCCGCCAGCTGGACAGCCCGTATGCAAGTAAGTGGGAATGCAGGCATCCGATTCAGCATCATACACCAGACCAAGCGAGAAGCAGCTATCGGATGCAAAGCCAACACAAAGGTCAGGATGTGTCTACTGTTAGTAGTGGGAGGATGCCTTTTCCCGCTTTACTGTTGGCTGTGTGCGTTTACCGACAAGCCCACCAAAGAGTGGGAGCGGCGGTGCAGGCGGATCCATGCAAAGGCTGGGTACCGGAGAATCTCATCGGCGTTGGCGTTGAAGGTTGTATTGGCCAGGTCGGCGCCGAGGAGGGACATGTTGCCGTAGACGTACTGCAGCTCATGGTCAAGGGTTTCAGACACGTCAATGACCACTTCCTGGAGGTCCTCGGCCAGGCTTGTCTGCGAGACAAAAGTGGTCTCTAAAACTGCGACACGTTGTTCCAAGCCCACAAAGGCCGTGGTGTTGACTAGGGCCAGACGAGCAGCAGCAGCCTCCTCAGCCGCACCTGAGATGGAGGAACACCATGCCACAGCAGGCGTAAGGTAGACAAGGGGTCGAGAACAAGGAACAATTGGACATGCCTTGAACAGCTTCGTCGGCATAATTGCGCATTGAGTCCACGGCACTGGCCACGGTGATCTCCAGCTCGCTTTGATCGGCCTGGGCCAATGTGGTTTTTGTGTGAATTTTCGCGGTGCGTCCCAGGCAGGCCACTCGGGCGCACGACGCATAGCAAACGCAAAGGAGGGCTGCCCAACCTTTTGAGTAAGGAGTTGGGTGACGTTGTGTTCCAAGGTGGCATCGAGCGTGGCCTGTGAAGCTTTTAGCATCTACATTTTAGGCGCGTGCATGAGCATGGCTCGGAGCCGATGGATTCGTGGGGAAAAACGCTCAAACAGACCGCAATCTCAGCTTGCGCATTGGCGAGCGCTGTTTGCAGGCTGTACAGGACGCGCAAGAGGTCAATGGTTGCTTCGCCTTGCCGAATGACCACGCTCTACCAGGCAGCGCGGAGAGGGCTGTGAGGATGCCGTCCGAGCCGGCACCGCACGTGCAAAAGGAGGACATTTGCACCTTGGAAGTGCCAACGTTGAAGATGAGGTTGCCATCCTGCGCGTCCATGGAAGGTTCACTCCCGCACGCCATGTGCCAACCAGCAACAAGCACCAACACCCCCAACACCAGTCGCCCCGGAGCTACACGACGACCATTCCCCTGCCGTCCAGCTCCGATATCCTTCATTTGCAACGAGGCCATGATGCCCCCTCAAAGTCGTCAAACACAATGTGGTACTGGCTTCTCATTGGGAAAATATCAAATTTACAGAATGCCAAACAACAAAAATCTTGATTTCTGTCCTTGATCTTGACTTGTGTGTAGTGTATATGCAGAGCAGCATAGTGTGTAAAGTAGTGTGTAAAGTGTCCAGAATAGTAGTGCATAGTGAAAGTGTGTGGAACGTATGAAAAAGTGCAAAGTGAAAAGTGTGTCAATGTGCAGGGTGTCGAGGAGGGAGAATAGTCTGACATTGTGAACTTGTCAGCATTTTCAGTTCGAGAGCGGCGAGCCGGGCTGGGCTGGGCCGGGCTGGGCTGGGCTGGGCTGGTGAGATAGGGGGAGGGGAGGAGAGCAGAGTGGAGCGCGATATGGCTCAGCGGGTTGTGCAAAGCGCGCGTCGGGTGGCCGGGGCGATGTCCCCTCATCCGAGGTGGCAAGGCCGACGACACTTGCGGTGCCTGACCTTTACCAGTCGGGATGTCTTTGCCAACCTCGCTGCTGAGGAGCACTTTTATAGCCAGCTATACAAGGTCTTGTCTCGTAACACTGGCTCTGCCCAACTTGCCTGTTGCTACCCGCCGACCGCTGAGCGAGAAAAATATTGTTTGCACACCACCTTAGGCCCCAGAAGAGGCTCGCGAGTCGGTGCTCATGTTCTGGCGCAACCGACCCTGTGTCGTGGTTGGCATTAGTCAAAACCATTATCTTGAATGCAACCTGCCCGCCATGGCGGCCCGACACATACCCTTGGCCCGCCGCAAGTCGGGCGGAGGCGCGGTCTACCACGTGCGTCGTGGCCCGTTAGGCTCGCTTGTCGACTCGAGGCCAGGGCTGCTGAGAGAGCGAGGGGTTGGGGGCGTTGGGAGAGAAAGGACGAAAGGGAGAGGAAACAGAAGAGCTTGACTTTGGATCAGCAAGACGCTCACGACCGTTCCATCTTTTGATTGCCTTTGGCTTGGAATTCTCTCAAATCAGGACGAGGGCAATCTGAACCTTACTTTCCTCACTCCAAAACCGGCTTACGAGCCTGGAAGAAACGCCAACATTCTCGCTCAAGCCCTGCAAGATGGTACGCATCTCATCTGCATGGCTTACTTTACACTGCAGTCCACGACCGCAAGGCTCGCGCTTTTCACATCAAGACGCGCCATGCACTCCAGGTCTCGGCGTCCCAGCCAGAGTTATGGAGGAACGCAACGACATTGTTGTCGATGGGCACAAAATCTCAGGCTCGGCCTATCGTATCGTAAGCTGACGTTCACTCGTTGTTTCTGGCTCACTGCAAGTGGCCCCTGGATGAACTCTGGGCCCAGCAGCTCCTCAGGCGCTTTCATTTTTTTTCCGATTTCTTTCGTGTCGACGACAGGGCCGCTTGGCAGCTTATCATCACTGTACACTGCTGGTATCGTCCAATCTCGGGGTGAGTACGGTGGTCATCGGGCAGCCCTCGTGCCTTTTACCTGGCTGGACTTTTTAAACGCCAACTGTACTGATTCCCGGTGGCCCGTGATGCCGGACTCTTGTAGAACCTAAAAAACGTCTTGCGCTCTGAACTCGCACCCTACATTGTCAGCAAAGGGGTCCCCAGTGTTCGGTATGTTCTTGAAAGAAGACCCCTGCACACTAAGGGCGCACCTCCTTGGGAGTTGAGGTGGCGCACCCTGTGGACTGTGTCCCGCTTGACCCAGGTTGGGCAACGGCTGATTCCACGATCAAAACGGCACCTCTGTTAGGAGTCCCGTGTGCTCGCTTGACACGGATATCGAGGCAGAAGCGTTTCAGAGCGTACTGCAACTCGTCGCGGAAAACTTTCATCGAGCTCTCGGCGAAGAAACACTATCCTTTGAAACCATGGATGCGTTTGAACTCTGTCGCCAATATCCAGACGTCGAAAAGCTCCGGCGCGAATTTCAGGTCTTGTGACATTCCAGCACCAAACCCAGACATGATCGTGCGACTTTTGTGTCGGGGCCTGCTCAGACTTGACGTTGGCTCCTGACTTGGTGCATGCAGTCACCTGAATGGATTGATGGGCGATCACCCATCTTCACCTTTTCCCGGACCTTTCTCGTCGGTGACCCTCAGCAACCCATCAAGGTTAGATCCCCTCCCCGACGCGGTCTCATGTCTTCTCTGGGCTTAATCCCTTTTTTTTTTTTTTTTTTTTTTTTTTGACCTCTTTTCGGGTAGGTTTGTGCTCTTTATTCTTCAAACTGACCGTCTCACTTGTCGCCTGGCCCTCGGAAGGTGGAGATGAATGCACGTCGAGGCGAGGCTCTGGAGCTCAAGCTCACCATCGGGGCCACCACACACGATGTTGCGGCCCCAGTTCCACTGCGCAAAACGGAGCTCACTGCAGCTCTCACCGACACTCTTGCCCAAGCCGGGTGGCCTCACCCACCCGCAGCCACAGCCGCACACCTCGTGGTCGGCATGCCCACACACCAATAACCCTCTCGTTCACATGTCAATTTAGCCACCCCTTGCCTTGAATGCGTCCCCTGCCTCTGTCTTTTGATCAAAAAAAAAAGAAGAAGAAAGCCTTGTTCTTTTCTTGCCTTTCAAAACGAGAACAAACCGAAGAAAACAGACTTAATGAAGATATTCAACCTGCCCCAACGTCCACCAATGCAAATCCTGTACAAGAAGTTGCTTCAAAGAATGCTACAAGTTGCAGTAAACTTACCTTTGTGTGTGTGTGAGAAGGAAGAGAGACAGAGAGACAGAGAGAGAGAGAGAGAGAGAGAGAGTGTGTGTGTGTGGAGCTGCATTTGGCATCTGACGCACTGAGCTCGCACATCGTCTTGCGTGCGTGCTTGTCTTGCTCTTGGTTTACTTGCCTCCGCCTGAGGGTTTGCCCCAGGCGCTCCCACGCTCCCACGTGTGGGGACGGGGCCGGAATTGGCGTACACCTGCCTGACGTGCCAAAAAAAAGGAATAAGCTGGCGTTGAAAGCAGCTGACGTCGAGCAGGAACAATGGCGACCACGGTGAGCCAGCAACCCTCTGCCACGCGACGCTGTGAACACGGGCGTGCTGGGCTTCTTTGCGTGCATCGTGGGCTCTGATGGTGTTCTTTGATCAAGCGCCCTTTGCCGGCTCTCAACGTGGTATCTATCATACGTGATGGCTCGCAGTCACAGGCTGAAGCGGCTTTGCGCGCAGATGGCGATGCGACCTTGCAAGCCTTTCGTGCCAGCAATGACGAATCCTTGCGCATTGGCCAGTACCGCACCAGCGAGCACCTCATGGCCTACCTGTTCCACGCCTATCGCATGGATGGTTGTGACTCGCATGAGGCGTACGTTTCCTTTGGTCTTATTCGTGCACTCGCTCCTTTTCATCTCTTCTGACTCAACACCTCAACTGGCTGTCCTGCTTGCGCAGCGTGGTGGAGCGACTGTCGGCCGACTCAACACCCTCTGGGCTCTGTGGCTATGTGTTTCAAGACCAAGACCCCACCTACACCTGTGTCGATTGTGCCGTTGACCACACCTGCGTCATGTGCCACGACTGCTTCCATAAATCTATCCACCGCGAGCATCACTACAACGTACGATCGAGCCGTGCATGCACCACACACCACCTTAAGCTCCCCACATGAGGGATTGAGCGACGCTTCACGAGTGTCAGACGGTCTCATGATCCTGACATTTGATTAGGTGTACATGAGTGGTGGCGGTGGCTGCTGCGATTGCGGTGACTCTGAGGCTTTCACCTCAGGCTACGCTTGCACGCAACACCAGGTTGATGAAAGTCAACAGCAGGTCTGTTTTCTGCATACGGCAACGACGGATGCGCTCCTCTGCGCATTATTGCCTGATGACATGTGCAACGCTGACCCTCGGACGCTATTGCTGCTGTAGTCGCCGGCAACCCTGTGTCAAAATCATCCGCGCCCGCTTCTGGAGAGCCTGGTCGAGAGACTGGGTCACATTTTCACGGTTCGTAAATGTACAAGCGGAAAAGCATTCAGTAGATCGGCAGGCCGCCGTGTTTACGACTAGGCGCTCCAAGCTGGCTCACCAGGTGTTTCCACACGTCTAGTTGGCTGAGCGATACCTGGAAGATACGGAGGGCCCCTCGCGCGAGGCGTCGTGCCTGGTTGTGTACAACGACGAGCTGCATGACTTTGTCCAAGTCATTGAAATATTGAGCCTGGCCACCCACTGTACCGAGGCTCGTGCACGCTCTTGGGCATTGTTGATCGACGAGATTGGTCGTGCCGTCATCCTGGTAAAGCACTCGTGCGACCGAAAATCTGCAGTGTCACGCCTCTTTCATCCTCCACCGCCTCTCCTGGCTAACCTTTGCAATCTCCTTTGTCTGCGTCTCTGCCTTGCCTCCCTTTCAGCTGGGCACTCCTGGCCAGTGCGAGCAAGGCTCGGAAATTATCACGCCCTCTCATTTGGTCAATTACGTCAGCTCCATCAGCCACATCAGCCGCCAGGTACGATCACACGGTCGTCCTTTCACACTGCAACCTCACGCCACTTGTACTCATCGGCGTGCCTGACCCGCTCGCCTCGTGTGCCCCATTGGCAGGAGTGTATGGTGGACGTGCTGATGCGGTTGGCTGACATGTGCAAGCAGTCAACGGTTATGCGCCACGTTCTCGGTGGCGTCCTGTGTGGCCAGACACTCGATGCCATCTTGGCCGATACCGTCACGACGGTGCGTGCCAACCCACGTTTGCCCACACCACTATTTTGTTCTTTCCTTTGCACTCACGGGCGTACCATTGGTTGTGGAGCAGAGTTCGCTGGACGACAGCTTTCTAGCGCGTCACATGCGCACACAGGCGGCATTTTGGAAAGAGTCACGCGCTGCCTATCGTGCCCTCATTTTTGCAGCCCCCATGGTTGAACACAACTACAAGAAGTTCCTTGGCCTGTGTTTGTGCAAGGTACGAGCCTTGGGTACAGTGCAAAGCATTCAGATTTGCGGCCTCACTCCCGCCCCATTCGCCGTCGTTCATTCATACCCCGTTGAACCCCTTGATCCATGGCAGAACTATACGGTTCTTCATCAAAAGCGAGCCGAGAGCGCTGAAGGCGACGATGAAAGCCTCATGCAGCTCTCCGTCCAGGTGCGGGCCCAGCTTATTTCTCGTACCAATACCTCCGGCACCGCGCCTATACCAGTCGAATAATCTTGCCTCCCCTCCCCAAAGGTCTTTACCACACCTTCCGTCACGACGGAGCTGGTTTACTTTCACAACGCTTTTGATTATTTACTTGATACCTTGAACAAGGTAAGCGCGCCTCGCGAGATGCCGCTCCGACTAGCACTCTTGACGCGCAGCACAGGGCCAACATTAAAGTTACGCACCTGGTATCGTTGCGGCCCTCACTTGTGCTGATTCCAATGCCTTTCTGGCTAACCCCCAAGCTCTTCGAGCCTTTTTGGGATCCCCGGGATGGTCGATACAATTGCCGCGTGCCCGAGCGCATGGCGCATACCTTCCACGATCAGTATGCTACCATCATCTACGATATTTCTTATGCGCTCAAAGCCGACCTCGGCACCCTTGATATGCTTCTCCCAAGGTGCGCCCCTCACTCTTGTCAAGCCTCCTGCCTTGCTTACTGGTCTGCTTTTCCGTTGCCGGGCACATCCGCGTGGCGCCGCTTGCTCGAACATCGCGCTCCTCATGTATTTGCGCTTGGTCTAGCCTTTTGTCCTTTTTGCAACACTTCAACGAGATGGACCAGTACACGCGTGCTTCCGCTGAACATGTTCTGTGCGTTTTGCTTAAACGACTGGGTGATGGCGTCGCGTGCACCTCGTCTCCGCCTCATGCCTTCTCATGTCAACCACGTGCATCAGATACGAGCGCTTGAGCTGGCGCCATGCTTTCTTGATAGAAATGACCTTGTGCTCGAAGCTGCTGCAAAGCCTGTTGGATTATGGGAAGCAGGTCAGTCTGAGGGGTCAACCTCCGGGCTCAAAGGCTTGTTCACGCCTGTTTCCATAATTTTTTTTTGAATCAAGGCCAATCGTCATGGCTGACGCTTCTACCCGTTTGTTTTAGCATCCCCAACACGTCCTCTATGGCATCCACGCTCTCGGTCGTGATTTTCGTCAGTTGTGCTGCGTACAGCCCATGCAGCCCATGCCAAGCAACTTGAAGTTGCCTGAACTTTCTGAACTCCTGGTGAGCCTGCCTCAAGTTACGGCTGTTGATGGCAGATTTTGTTCTTGAGTTGAGATCAGACCAAGCGAGGAGTGCTGTGTGCTTTGGCTTTGGTGGCATATCGTCAACACACACGAGCACATCCCCACCCCTCTCTTTCTTGAGCATGCGCATCCCTGACCCTTTCTATCTTGCGTCCCCCTACGTACTAGGGTCCTCGACGGGTTGAGAATCTTCGCTTGTTCCGATTTATTGTGAGCCGGCAGCCAGTGTCTCTTCACTACCCGCTCGCGCGACTTTTCGTTGGCTACATCTGCACTCAGAGCAGTTTGAATCGACAAGACATCGATTTGCAGGAATGTGAGTGTTGGATGCAAAACTTGGTCTTGCAAAAAGCGCGTTTCGTCCATGCTCGTTTCTTACCTGATCAATTTTCTCCTCGAACGCATTCAGTGGGCCTGGACATGGACCAGATGCTTCACTTTGGTGAAGGTGCCTTGCGGTGTGCAGTTTTGCAGGCACAAAGCAACATTCGCATGTGGGTTCGGAATGGCAATGCCATTCCCAACCAGTTGTTCAACTACTCGGCCTCTGACAGCAAGGGCTGGGTACGACACCGCCTTGTTTGCCGGCAATGGGCGTGGCATCAGACTCTTGCATCGAGTGCAAGACCCAATCAGAGTGTGTGAGCATGTCACTGACCCTCTTCTGTTCGTTTGTAGCTGTATGACAAGGACCTTCGTGTGCTTCAGTTGGTGGCAGCCAATGTGCCTGCGGATGTATTTGTTTGGCAAACGCTGCTGCGCTTTGAGCTGCATACCTGGGCCCTGAAGGTGGGCGCTGAAACTTCCGGCGAGATGGCTGCCGCCGTAGCCTCCTTGTTTGAGAGCTACTTTCGCTTGATTTTGAATATTTTAACTTGTCGTCATCACGAGGGCGTCGGAGACGTGACCCTTGAGGACATTATCGAATTTCAAGTCATCCAGGCGCTATGCTGTGGGCCAGCACCGTACAGTCGGATCAAGCGCTTTTTCCCTCGCCGCTATGATCGCGATGGCAGCCTGACGCGCATGCTAGCTCGTGTCGCCAACTTCCGTCAGGCCGAGGGGTTGCGGGAGCAGAGCACCTACGAGCTCAAGCCAGAGCTAGCATCGCTCTACGATCCAACCACCTCCTTCCTTCTGCCGGAGAACCACAACGATGCGGAGCAGTACTTACTGCGCCTCTCCGGCAGCCGTTCCTCCCTGTTTGACGAACCCTTTGGCCTCAAACGCCCCGCGCTACTGCCTCAATTTAGTCAACTCGAGTCCCTGGTCTTTGATCGTGATGTGCGTCCCTGCTGGCCATCCAAGCTTCGCTGGGTCATCGCCTGGCGTTATCCGTCGCTCATGTAGACACTGTGGTGTGCGCGTTTTGCTCTACCCTGACAGCTGATTCACACGGCGCTGCTGATGCTGATGCGCGCTGTGGGATACATCAGCGAACGAGTTGCGCTTGGCTCGCCTGACATTGTAAGTCCTATGCAAACTCACCGGGCGTGGTGTTGTTACCATACATGCCGGTGCTGGTGCTGGTGCTGGTGCTGGTGCTGGTGCTGGTGCTGGTGCTGGTGCTGGTGCTGGTGCTGGTGCTGGTGCTGGTGCTGGTGCTGGTGCTGGTGCTGGTGCTGGTGCTGGTGCTGGTGCTGGTGCTGGTGCTGGTGCTGGTGCTGGTGCTGGTGCTGGTGCTGGTGCTGGTGCTGGTGCTGGTGCTGGTGCTGGTGCTGGTGCTGGTGCTGGTGCTGGTGCTGGTGCTGGTGCTGGTGCTGGTGCGGTGCTGGTGCTGGTGCTGGTGCTGGTGCTGGTGCTGGTGCTGGTGCTGGTGCTGGTGCTGGTGCTGGTGCTGGTGCTGGTGCTGGTGCTGGTGCTGGTGCTGGTGCTGGTGCTGGTGCTGGTGCTGGTGCTGGTGCTGGTGCTGGTGCTGGTGCTGGTGCTGGTGCTGGTGCTGGTTCGTTTCATTTCTTTTGCCCGTTCCGGATGATCACATTCACAATGGGGCACGTCTCTGTTTGCTCAGGGAAAATTGGCCAACGAAAATCTGGTTCAGCTGGTGCTTCAATTCTTTGTTGTCGGGCTTTCGCCCTCAGAAAGCACCAACTCTTCGGCGCCAACGGCCTTGCAGTTTGCTGAGCGAGTGCGCATCATTTCTCTTGAGCTGCCCGAGCCCGAGCAGGGTCTTGACATTGTGGAGCTTCTGGAGGCGGTTGCACAAACTCACCTAGTACGTGGGCTACTTACTCTACTTTGCGCCTTCTTTGACCTCGGTGTTTGGTCTCGTCGGCCTTGAAACTCATTGCTATGCGCCGCATATCCGTAGTTGCCGGCAAGCCCACGTCGCCAGAAACTCGTAGCTTGGTTGTGCAAGCGCTTCAAGGAAGTCCTTGGCCTGGAGTCTGCCCCTGAAGATCCAGCTGATGCAGAGGTATTTGTTGCTCGTCTCGATGCGTTCCATTGGCCCCGCGCTTTCTGCTTGCTCGGCGCCGCTGTTGTCTTCTGACGTGCTGATCCTCGGTCCACAGTGTGAGGCCACTGGTGAGACAAAGAAGAAAAAGAAGAAGAAGGACAAGGCCAAGGTTAGCTCTCTTTGGTTTGATCTGCTCCATTGGTTTTTCTTCTTCCTCCCCCCAGTGGCCTCACACTGT